ACACTCAAGAGCACAAAGGTGCGAACAGTTCTGCAGTTTAAGAATACGTTGTGACTCTGATTTAGACTTTTTCTTGGCACATTTCTTAAGAACACATTTAAGAAAAAACTATGATGATTATTGGTTAATGAGGCCCAAAGTTTCCTTTGGAGGCTTAGTTGTAAAACTGTTAAAACTAACACCACCATGAGGAGGCTGTACTTTAGTCTGGCTAGCTCCCACTATGAGTTATTTACATGCTTCAAAACAGGTACTGTATTACAGCCACCAAGATTACATGATTACGATAATAAATAGTGAGTTCTGTTACACATACACACTCAATAATTTAAAAAAACAAAATGAGTTTTCAGGGATAAGCTTGAGAAATATCTGTCTTATCTGTATTTCATCTGTATTAGCAGATGAAATTGCTCTGGGAATACAGCAGGTACTACTGGAACCTGTTAACTACATAAAATATGCAAGCTACATTTAACCCCACGTTAGTTTGTGCCCTGCTCTCCTGATCTATTTTATATTATATATGAAAACATTGAGTTTAGTGGCAACATACACATTAATAATGGCAATAGCATTCAGCGAAATACATTAGCGACTAGAGGTTAAAGACTTAAATTGAATGCATAGGTGCTGTATGATGTTTGTATTCATGTTTGTGAATAAATGCAAACAGATAAAGGAAAAACAGCATTGAAAGTGTAATAAATGAGCTCAGTTTTCTCATACATTGAGGAGTAGTGGGTTAAGTCAGAGAGAATGGTGTGGTGTGTGTGTGGGGGGGTGGGGTGTTGGTGTATGGGGAGTGTAACAGGTGTCTGAACTTTGGTGACTGCAAAGACCTTTTCAGTATCTAACCCCATTCACTCTTTCTTCTCTACTTAATCCATCAGTATCTGGAGCCACAGTAATCTCCTTATGCCAGAGCCCTTGCTCTCAGAGCTGCCAAACCTTAGACATGCAGAGCTGCAGAGGGTGTGTGTGTGTGTGGTGATGTTGGGTGTGAGAGCGTGTTTGGTTGCTATGTTTCTGTCATTGTGCTTCATTCACTTCAGTGTGGATTAGTTATTGAGGGGTGGCGGGCTCCGTGTGTGTGTGTGTGTGTGTGTGTGTGTGTGTGTGACAGCAAAGGGGGCGTTGGGGCTGGTCAGAGAGTATTGTGTTTGTTGCACGGTCATGTTTGTATGGATATTGTAATGGGCAGAACTCAGTAGCCCTGCCATATGGCACAAACAAGGTGAGTTATAGTGAGCATGCTCATGAATGTAATATGAATGTATCACTCAATCAGGCTGTTTCTAAGGGTGTACTCAGATGGTCCTGGTAAACTTGTCATGTTACTAAATAGTATATATATAAATAAATAGTATATTTATCTCGTGCAAACAGTATATACCAGCATTAAATATTTGGAATCACAATTCAAAAATATGAGATTTCAATGGAAAAAAAAATATATGAAATTATTCTATTGCTACTCTACAACCTTGCAGATTTCCACTTTCACCAGGAAGCTGTAAAGAACAGGACATAAAAGATGTGTCCACTACAGCTATAGATGATTCCATAGTAATTAGAATGTGTAAAACATTAAGAATGCAGTTACACTAAAATTAACTTCCAGAATTGCTTGTATATGAAATGTGGAGGTCAAATCTCAAATTTCAAGCAGACAACATATCAATTATTATTTAATCACTTTTTCAGTGATCCTCAAAACCTAAAATATTAAATTAAAACATCTTTAAATACTTTCTGGTATCAAGCTTATAGTATTTTAATCTACAGTGTATAAGTTTATTTTGAAAACAATAACAGCAGTTAATAAAAAAAAAGGTAACTCCAAACCTTTGAATGTTTGTGTATATAGGCCTGTCTTAGTAGGATAGACTACTGACATTGCTCACTGCAAGACAATATACCTCTGAGGTTGTGTGTCATTTTGTATTTAGCATAACTAAACAAGGAACTCCCCAAGGATTCCCCCCCCCCAAATTTCATTTAACTTTATTCAACAACACCATGTGCTCAAAATGTAGCCTACTGCTGCCAAAACCCCTTGAATTCGGGGAAAAAGGTACACAGGGCAAAATAAGCTTTGGAAGTTATGTATATAACTTGATGCTGACAGACGATTTTTGAAAACTTGAATGGTTGAGTTTACCACAAGGAAACTAAAGTTGTGAATATTAGTGGTAAACTTAAACAAGCAACATTTTAATGGTAAGTTTCAATGACAGTCAATTTCTGTATAATAAAGTGTGTAAATGATTGTAATGTTAAGTGTCCCTGTAGTAACTAGACAGGCCCTATCAGTTGGCAACCAGTATTAAATGGCAATAAAAATGGTACATCTTGGCCCCAGTTACTGATTAGTCTACCACTTGAACACAAACATCTGGTAGCTACGATTTGGCAAAGTGACAATTTTCCAACTTTATGAACTGTGGAGGACATCCAAATGGCGTATTACATCTAAGGCTTGTCCATATGATAGCAGCGAACTCCAAAATGACGACAGATTTTCAGAGGTCTATGGAAATCTGTTTGGTATTGCTTTCAGAAGCATTTGACCATACGAGCTGGTGATACACCACTATTGGTGAAAGGGTAACATGGAACTTGCCCAAGTTTATCTTGTGTTATCTTGTGTTGCGCAAAGTGATTGTGGTGAACTCGGAAATTCATAAATTTACGAGAACCGTCTGAATGCACCATGACAAGGCACATGGGCAGAATATAATTTCACAGTGTTATTACTATTTGAATGTGGTGTGGCCCAGAGGAACAAGGGTTCCTGTTGTGGACCTTCATTCCTCTCAGTGTTAACTGAATCAGTTTTAACAATAAATACCACCAAATTGTTCTTAGCTAGGATGTATGGTTTGTTAGTATAGAACATTAGCATAAAACATTACTTTTAGAAGGTTCTTTGCTTTCGTATGCCTCTTTTATGGAGCCCGGCTGGTGACATCTTGTATAAATAAAACTAATGCATGGCCATGAACTCGTTCCCACGCCTTACTAAGTCGTGGCCACGCATTAGTATCTCGTTCCCATGCCTTACTATGTCGTGGCCACGCATTAGGATCTCGTTCCCACATTATTACGGTGTGGCATTACTTTTATTTATACAGGATGTCACCAGCAGGGCTCCGTACTCTTTTACAAACATGATTCCTTAAAAATGTACTGAATGGCTCTTCAGGTAACCAAATGTGGTTCTTTTATGGCATTGCTTCAAAGAACCTTTTTTGGCACCTTTATTTTTAAGAATATATGTAGAAGATCCATTCACCAAACAAAAGTAATCAAATATTGAAATTTGTTACCAATGCATTTCATATATGTGGTTTATTCCCTTGCATTTCACAGGTAAGTTATTCACATTTACGTAAACAATCCAGAGAAAAGCCTGAAATGGCAATATCTACATAACATAACACAAGAACATTTGGGATTATCATACACTGTTATTTTAGTCCACTTCGGATAAGATTCTTCTTTGTTTTTCTGTCTGTGGTCTGTGATAAGTCCCAATTTGTTACTTACATCAGAAAACATCCACAAAGTGACAGAATGAATGAATAAATGAAGTGTCTTTCTGAAATTCTTGGCACTGAAACACTGTGGTGTATTTACAGAGTCAAATGAATGGCTTTTTGGATTGCGTTGTTTTAGAAGTGTCAGTGTTCTGCAGTAGGTTTGTATGGGGAAAATGTAGATATGCAATTGTTTGACAGTTTCTAAACTTACGCTTCGCTCAAACACATCCAAAAAACTGCGTATTTCCTTTGAGGGCATTGAGGCCCTCCATTCAGCAGGGCAGGTATGTAGATTTTCTACTGCGAGTACATGGAGATAAGATGATTTCAGACTGCAGAAACCAGCCCTTCATGCAGCATTGAACGGCAGTGCTGAGATGAATTTGTAGTTCTTGCCTCTGTTAGCTGCTCTGGAGTCAGTTGGGTAGAGTGTCCAAGATGAGATGAAGTGGAAAAAAAAACAAACAAACAAAAAAAAACCATTAAAGCCACAGTTAAGCCAAGAATAAAATTTGCCTTGCGAAAAAGACAATTGACCTCATAAAAGGAATTGGCTTCGATTAGCGATTAATAGACCTCTGAATTCATGTGTCATTCGGTAGTCACCGTCTTGCCTTTATTAGGAAATCCGGGTAAACAAGAATGTCCCAAACCCGATATGCTTTGCCTGTGTACGTTTCCCCCACTGTATCTTTTGAATTACGAGGTCAATTAGTATTCAAAATACGACTGATGCTACATACATGCTACAAGCAAGCTAACACTAGGCAAACTGCTGCAAAAGCTAGGCTAGTCTACTGCTGCTAAAGTGACTTAACTACTACTGCGATTGCCAATCTTTTGTTGTCAATTCAGTGCACAGCAGTGTTAGCTTGCACGTATCAATATTCATATTTCGACTCTTTAGCGACTTCTGACCCTGGAAAACATATGTACGGCAAAACACATCAGTTTTTTGGACTTGGTATTCCAAATATGGGCATGACGCTGACTTCAGAGGTAAATTTTGCTTAGCGCTGAGTTTATCAGGGTGAACTATAACCCTGCAAATCTGCAAACTGTGGGAGCGTTAGCTAATTAAAAAACAAGACTGAATGCTATGGTATCTTCTTTCTGAAAAAAGATGTGGAGCAACTGCCTACATTAGTTAGCTAGCTAGCTAATGTCAGATGTTCAATAAACTGTATGTTTCCCGGGGAGGAAAATGGCGTAGTGAAAGTCCACAGCTGTGACGACAGCTTAATGCAGAAAACAGTCCTACTTTTAGTGTAGCAGCATTCAATCCCAATACTGTGATGAACTTGTAGTATTAGCTGCACTGGGATAAAGTGTCCAAGATTACATATAGTGCTTATTTCAGACCACAGTAATACAGAAGCCAGTCCTTCCTTCAGACAAGTAGCATTCAATCCTTGTACGTAGATTAATTTTTGTGTCTGTACGCTGCTTGTGTGGTCAGTTGGGTAAAGTGTCCAGGCCAAGTGAAGCTGCATGCTGTTTGGCCCTCATGCGCAGGTTTTCAATGCTGGTTGTTTTGCTGTTAATACTGGGTAACGTTCCTGTGGCCTGAAGCAAAGGGCTGCTCCACATCTGCTGGGCCTGGGACAGGGACTGGTAGTAGGACTGGCACTGCAGTGACCCCAGTGGGGCGGCCATGTTTACGCTCATGCCCAGGTAGGGTAGTGAGGAGGGGGAGGCCATGTCGAAGGACGGGTAGTGCACCAGGTTGTTGGTGGCAGCCATATGCTGGCGGAACTGCTCCTGCAGACGGAAGAGGCTGAGTGGAGACGAGGCGTAGGAGTTACTCTGAGCCAAACCACTGCTGCTGACCCCACTGGAAGACGGCAGGGATGGGGAGCTGAGGGGAGAGTCTGGAAGGGGAAAAAACAGATCATATCATATACAATAATAAACTGGAGTACTATGTTTTATTAAAGTATTATCATTTCTGTCAGATTGCTATTGACTTCTGACATTAGCTGCTAGCTGATGGAAGTTATAATATATCTAAATCTTAAGCAATATGTCATACATGTAATTATATTGATATTTACAGTATTGTGCAAATGTTTTAGGCACCTGAGAAAATTTGCTTTAAAAAACTGGCTAATCAGTGCTTCATTCAAGTGTGATATGACTACATTCAAATTATTCATGTGATGGCTGGGGGCAGAGGAGAACCCTGAGCAGAACCCTGAAACCAAACTGATGCTCTTCTAACCAGCTCAAAAAATATCAGCTACTTTTTTTGAAAACAAGAAATTCTTGATACTTGTATATTTATTACCGTATTTGTTTATTTGTATCTATTATATGATAAATGTTTTTAACAATTTGCTTAAGTGTCTAGGTGACTTTTGCACAGTACTGTACTATATACAGTTGTTACTAATAGAAACAGATGAATAAATACAAGTGCACTTTAGGTTCACATTACAGTATTGGAGTAGCATAATTTTTTTTGCCTAAGTGTGACACAGAAGTGATTTTTTTCAGAGCTGTGTGAACACTGATCTTTTAAAATCAGATCTGAGCCACTTTGCATATCTGTTACTTGGTCATGAGACCACAGTAAGAAATGTCAAATCAGAATGAGTGTTTTTTTACATCACACATCACTGCAGCATGCGTATGTGGTCAATATCAAGTGTCAAGGGTGTTTCAGCAGTACTTAACAATAGCAGAAGATGATAAAATGTATGCAAGCTGATCCTTTCGGGGCAAAGGTGTGTTTACACTAAAGACAGATATGGATCCCTTTCACACATAAATGCAAGCCATCACGGCAAAAAGATCAAATATGAGGACAAAATTGGAATTGAGCAAAAGTCTTTAATGTGAACTTAGCCTACAAGCTCTGATATGTACTAAATGATCTGAGTGTTGAGGTTAAAGGGTCCATATTCTACCATATACTTTTCTCATATACAGTTGTATGCAACACGCCTGGTCAAATGATATGTTTTGTTGATTTGTGGAGTGAAAGTAAGGTATCCTATACTCTAAAAGAAATCAGCTTAAAAATGTCCTTTCCTGCATATGTTATTGCACGATTTCCATTTACTTGCTGAATAAAATAAAAAATAAAAGTAAACTTCAACCGCTCCTTTCAGAAGTATGGACCCTTTAGAAGGCTTCAGTGATCAAATTGCTTCCCAACAGACAGGAACAGCACAACGTTTAATCGTTTTCGCACATCTTTTACTCCAGTAACTCTATAGACTGTCTGCAGGAACAACACTCTGCATCACTTCAACAGTAATAGGTGGGGCTAAACTGCTGACATGTAAAGGTGGCCATAGTTGTAAACCATGATAAATGAAAAATGGGCTGTTTTTGGAGCTTAGTGTCCTTTTATGGACTGGGGAGTAAACAATAAGCTATATTTGGAAACTTTATTTTGTATTAAAAAGAATTTTATAGAAAGAAATCAAATGTAATTTAGAATTAACTATGATGCATTTCCTTTCAATAATGAATCTTTCTTTAAACATACCTGATTTTGGACTCAGTGGCTTGCAGGACGGCGAACTCTCACCAGGTAACTGTGGGCCTGCTGCTTTTACCTCCCCTCCGAAACATGGCGGCTCGTCCTCTCTGTCAGTCATATCCTCTGCTCCTGACTCCGCCCCCGACTGCTCAGGTGAGGTCACGTTCACCTCCTCAGTGAGCTCACCTGCTGCAGGTAGTGTGGATCGATTTCCTTCTGACAGGGGAGGAGGAGGGGTTTGGGACTCTGATGTGGTGGTAGGTGGGACTTCTCCTTTCTCTGCCTCCTGACCTGCATCAGTCCCCGCCTCCTTCTGTCTCTGGAGCTGCTCTTTCTGCAGGCTGCGCTGCTTCTTACGAAACTTTGCCCGCCTGTTTTTAAACCACACCTAGCAGAAGAAAAAAGTTGTATTTGAAGATATGAAATTTCAAATTGCTTATAAACTATTTTATGTCTTTTGATATTCTGCATTGAAGTTGGTGGCATGTTGCTTTATCTGGCAAATGTACGGCAAACATTCATTGTCATTCAGGTAATGTTTTGTGGTAAAGTGGCCCAGTGCACATTTAATATAGAAACACCTGTTGTGAATGGAAATTCTAATTGAAGCTGCACTACGCAAGATTGTTTGGTTAAGACTGAAACAAGTAGCATTACTGAGTGGAGAGAAATAAAAACACATTAAAATTTTGTGTGTGCGCACTGCTGCGAGTCACCCTGTAAAGCCTGAAATAATAGTTACGTATAATGCAAAATCAAGCTTATACTGATGAAGATATGATGACAACAATAGAGGACATGATGTTCACCAGGTTTTTACTGAATACTTTTTGAATATTCTTTCAACGTGCTTGCAATCGTCAGATTCATCTGCTGGGGTCTGAAGCTCAACCGACGTTAAAAAAAAAGGTCTTTGGCACGTTCTGTGCAATTACACATTCCCACCAGAGAGGCCTCCAAATCCCCAAATCTTACATAGAGCAGCTTTAATAATCCTAAAAACCCTTGCTTTTAAATATCTTGAATTAACTTAGTAAAATACTTTGTTCATTATGACAATTTTTCAGTATATACTGACTGAGCAAATTAACTGTTAATATATGAACACACAGCAGTACTCACTTTGGTCTAAAGTAAATGTCACACATGTAGTAAATCACTGATTGCATGTCAGGTGCACGGTCCACATCCTGGTCTGTATGTGTACCTGTACTCGAGCCTCAGGCAGGTTGGTGCACATGGCGAGTCGCTCCCTCATGACCACGTCAGGGTAGTGTGTTTTCTGGAAGGTTTTCTCCAGCGCCTCCAGCTGCTGAGCGGTGAATGCCGTGCGGCTCCTGCGCTGCTTCCTGTGCTGAGAACCGTAACGGGCCTCCAGGATGATGTCTGAGAACGTCCAGCCGTTAGAACAGAAAATACAGCATTTTTAATATGCTGTACATCATTTTTCAGAACTATATTTTTGATTCATTTCTTTACTTCTATGATTAAAAATTATCTAATTAATTCTCATATTTTTCTTCTGTATATTTTTTGTACATTCTGTATATTTTAGTCACTTGATTGCAAGTCAGATTATACTTAATAAACTAAATCTCAAATTAACGACCAGTTATATTATTATACCAAATGGCTGCATTATGACTGAGCCCACTACAGTTAAACCGTACTGGATCAAACTGAATTTAATTTTTTTATGCCTGTCCCTTGTTATACTAGATATGCATATGCCACCTTAATCAGAAATCAGTATGTATGACATAACCTATTAAACAATTTCTGATTATTTTTAGAAATTATAACTTGCCATATTGGTTCAGGAAACCAGGAAAAAATCATATGCGTGCAAATAAATAAATAAATAAAACCCTCTGAAACTTTGTCAACTTCTGAAGTTTCATTCTCCAACTTTAACTGGATGAAGACTAATTGTACTAAAGTGAAGGAGCTCCAAACCAAATCCCTCTCGATTCTGTTCATAACATTTATATAGAATCAATACATCAGTTTAAAAAGCCTAAATATGTTATTATTGCATCTCTTTCTCTAACTGATCGCCATCATGTGTTTAAAGTGATAGTTTGGCCAAAACTCAAATTTCCAGTTTTCTTCCTTAAACCAAATGTAGGTGATCAGCCAAGACACGTTTGGTGTCTGAAGTTTTAGTCTTTAGTTTTGTACTAGAGCTACAAGTTTAACGCAGCTAACAAATAATAATTAGCGCTGCACAAACTACATGCATAAATCATCATACACTTCCCTTAAACTGTGCCGAGTTGTTCAGTAATCTCAAATAGACCTGCTTGTCTGCTCGTTTCTGACACTGTATGACAGAGTTATCTACAAAAATGGACAAAGTTTGTCACATAGTATAAATAGTAATAACAGTCAATTTGGAGGCCTGAAATTTGTTGTACTTTCTCCATATTTAGACACCAAACATTTGGAGTAAGACTGTTGGCCAAATAATCCCTTTGATGCATTCAAACCTTAGAGGCCACTCCTCATGCCGACGTGAATGACCACTCTTACCGGCCAGTCTCTCTGCGAGGGTGAGGGCGTGCACTGAGGGCCGATAGTCCGGCGCGTGTTGTGCTTGCTGCGCCGCCTGCTGGTGGAGGTTGTACATGGCGCTCAGTGAGTTCATGGCGTGCAGAGAGTAGCCGTTCACTCCATAATGCTGCATGCTGAAGGTCAGCTGAGGACAGAGAGGGATAGAGGTAGAGAGGAGAGAGAGGAGGGAGGTTAGAGCACTGAAACCTGTAAACAAACCTGCTTACAGCGAGTGGGTGTGTGTGGGATGAGGGGGGGAGTGCATTAGGGGATGTGAGACTAACACACCCAGTGCACCTAATCAGTGAGATCACACATTAAAATAGCCAAAACTAACACTGAACTACAGCACTGGATTAACCCCTTAAAGGGTCTGTATGTGGATCCACGCTTCAGCTTCTCACTATCATAACTGCAGAACTGACACATTAGACTCACAGTAGATTTTGAATAATTCATAGTACTGAATATTTCATAGCACTAATTGAATAATTAGTAGTTATTCAATAGTTTAGCTCCTAACTAAAGAATTAGTAGTAGAACATAACTTATTTACACATTAGTTTTATGGGTGATACTGAATAATTCATAGTAGTTATAAAATAAATAGCTAACATTAGTTACTGAACAATTCATAGTAGCTACCGTATCATTCATAGTAGTTGCTGAGTAGTTACTATCCTTATAGTTCTCGGATAATAAGATAAATAATTGAATAATAAATCATCTTAAACGCAAAACTGTACGGAATTAACACCTATCAGGTTTAAGGAACTCTTACTGTGTTGTATTAACTCTTGCAGTGTTCGTTTAACACCTTTAAATCTCAGACTTATTCCATCTTATTCAGTAACTATGACAGTGTTGCAATGCAAACTGGCTGACTATTCCTAAGTTACAGAAGAATGTGATAAAAGTTTGACCTCGCCCACAGGTCATTTCCATTAAAGGGGAATTCCACCGATTTTTCCAAATTTCTGCATAGTTCAATCATTTAGATGTTAATAAAATCATTCAGGCCGTTTGACGTTAAGTAGTTCATTTGTAGAGACACTTACTGACATGATATGACTGACATGACAAATCTTCTAAAAACCATCGTACACCAATGTCTCAGACATTATACAGTGTATTCATAACCATTTCATGCAATAACTTTCTGTAAGGGAGCTTTTAGAGGTGGACGTCTGGTTCCTATCATCAGCACTGTGCACAAATCTGGTAAGTTTCTCTAGAACAGAGCAGCGGGTCATGTATGAACACAGTAAGTCAGCCTGTAGGCGTGTTTATTCATCAGTGTGTGTTAATTGAGTGGAGCAAGTGTTAAAGGACGCTGTAAGAGGTGGCTGGAATTCGCTGTGCATGCGGCAGGTGAAGGTGTGGTAGGTTAAGCTTTGTTAGGTTGGTTTTGTTAAAGTAACACAACAGCACTAACGTAATGCCACTGCATCACTGCTGCTGTTAATTTAGCCCTGGAGATTTTTGCTGTACTAGAGCTGTACAGTGTAGTTTCTCAGTGTGTGTAATGTATGAGGTTAAGCTTTTTTCCCCTCAGTCTTTCTGACTTCCCTGCAGTGGGAGCACACAGAGAGACTGACCAGCTGACTGATTCATTCTAATACAGTGTATTCAAAAGGTGTGAATTCTGCACAAGCACCAAAAATAAAATTCGCGTTAAACTCCTTTGCTGTTTAAACTGATGCCCCTTTAAAACGTCAGTTCTGCGTGTGTGTGATCTGTGAGGAGCGGAGAGAAGCGCGCGCTGAGCTGATCTCTGACTGCAGTCTGACTGATAAGAGCCGCTCAGTTTCACCCGTAAAGTTTACTGTCATTTATTTTATTATTTAGGTGAAATTTTCTCCCATTTTCGGTTATATTTTTAGAAAATTAATTCGTAAAGACGATCGCATGTTTTTTGTTTTAAGCCTCAGGGCTGAACACGAATACACACACTGACTCAAAGGCTAAACAAATGCAAATAACGTGAATAATGATATTATTATTATTATTATTATTATTATTATTATTATTATTATTATCTGTTATTTTTAATGATGGCGTTGATTTAAATGAAAACAACAGTAAGAGTTTACGATCCTTAATCTAGACGATTTAATACGACTATATTGAATTATTACGGAATTATAAAAGCACCAAAACAACAGTTTTATTGCTGGAATGTATACGTGTTTTTATTTATATAAAATGTACTAAAATAAAATGGTAATTATAGCTGCGTTATAATGTTAAATAATACGTTGTAATATTTAGTTTACAGCTGCACTGTACAATCTGATGATATTACTTTGATAAAGTCAGTAATCCGGTTTTAAACCACATTAAGACACATATGAACTCTCGCTGATTATTTAGATCATTTACAGCGTTATAATGAACACTTGGACCTTGAGAGCGCAGTGAGCGTCACTGAGGCTGAAGGATCGAACAGCAGCAGCAGCAGATTTAGTTTATTAGCACTGATAGTTTTTTTTTATTTATTTCCTCGCGCGCACACACTTAAAAAGGTGGTTTCAATTAAAAAGGAAATGGTTCTATTAAGAACTATGAGTTCTATATAGAACAATTTCAGGCTTTATTGTTTTTTGCATGGTGAAATGTCGTCTTCAGATTGATGGAGAATGTGTTGTATAATGTTCTATATAGAACCTTTTTGAAAAGGGTTCTATATAGCACCAAAAAAGGTTTTTCTATTGCTTGACATTTGATGCTACATAGAACCATTTTCAATAAGGTTCTATATAGAACCATATACAAAATACATTAATCAAACGCAAAGAACCGTTTAAGTATGAAATAGTAGTATAAAGAACTTGTGGTTCTAAATAGAACCATTGGATTTCCTAAAGAACCTTTGACTGGACATTTTTTTCATGCAAAGTTGCGTGACTTTTCAGAGCGCGGAGTTACTGCACTGACGTCTGGGGTCATTAAACATCATAAATAAGAAATTAAAAAAATAATAATTAATGATTCAGTTAAAGCAACTCCGTAATGTGGGGCCGCGAACGCGCGAGTTTAAAATCTGCATCTGTTTTTTTTGTTTTGTCCATACAAACAGCAAACCGTAAACACGCTGTAAATAATTTATTTACGCAAATTTTTCAAATCCTGAATTTTTAAAGCACTTACTGCAAAAACACTTTCAGCAGGTTGTGAATAATCAGATAAACTCGGAGACACTTTACAGCACAGAAAACTTGTTGTTGTCTCTTAAAAACCTGCCGTAACGGCTGATAAAACCACTACAAAACTTTTATGCCCCACAGAAGAGAAACTCTCAGACGACCACAGAAAAAAAACGCTCATCGACATTAAATTAGCGCTGAACTCAAAGTGAACTCGCCCAAAGCCTTACTGTACACACTGAAGTCCGGTTCAGCTGATGGTGAAGTATACAGGCGACTCTGCAGCACACAATTAAACTGTAAACGTGCAGTGACGGAGTGCTTGAACTCACCTGCTCGCTTTACTCTGCAGCCCGTTCTCCTCTCTGTGTGAAGATGAAGAGCTTGGTGTAAATGCTGAAGAGGATGTGTTTGATTAGAGCGGTCCAGGTTAGTGCTGGTGGGAGTGCTGAAGGCAGTGGAAGTCCATCTGTGATCCCGCACGCGGTCCAGCCCCACTGAGTGCCCTGCCCCCTCCCCATCAGCAGCTTTTAAAGCGCCACGAGCTCCAGCGCAGAGAGCCTATAGCAGAGCTATTCAGCACAGTGACACAGTACAGCATTTCAGTAGAGAACTTAGAACAGTGTGTAAGGACAGCCGTTCACTTTGCATGTCTAAAGAGTGTTTCATAGAAGCACTTCAGTACAGAACCTCAAATAACACATCATTTCAGTATACAGCGCTTCAGTACAGCTGTAAAGTATAGTGTCCAAAGCCATTCGCTTTGGAACAGCATTTTAAGTACAGTATTCAGTACAGTATTCCAATACAGTGTGTGCAGTACAGTGCGTCAGTACAGAGTTTCATTAAAGCCCATCAGCACAGGGATTCAGTAGAGCATTTTATTACTCAGTACAATGCAGTACAGTGTATTACATTATATTATATTGGGTACAGTGCTTCAGTACAGTGCTTCATTTTAGTATAATGCTTCAGTACAGTGCTTCTTTATTTCAGTACAATGCTTCAGTACAGTGCTTAATTTCAGTGCAGTGCTTCAGTACAGTGCTTCTTCATTTCGCACAAGACTTCACTACAGTCATTTCAGTACAGTGCTGCAGTGCAGTGCTTCCTTTTAGTATATTGCTTCAGTGCAGTGCTTCATTTCAGAATAATGCTTCAGTACGGTGCTTCATTTCAGTACAGTGCTTCTGCATTTCATAGGAGGCTTCAGTAAAGTGCTTCATTTCAGTGCAGTGCTTCATTTCAGAATATTGCTTCAGTGCAGTGTTTCCTTTCAGTACAATGCTTGAGTGCAGTGCTTCATTTCAGTACAGTGCTTCAGTGCAGTGCTTCATTTTAGTACAACACTTCAGTGCAGTGCTTCATTTCAGTACAGTGCTTCAGTAGTGTTTCTTGTCAGTACATCGCTTCATTTCAGTACAGTGCTTCATGCAGTACTTCATTTCAGTACAATGCTTTAGTGCAGCGCTTTATTTCAGAACACTGATTCAGTACAATGCTTAATGAGTGCAGTGCTTCATTTTAATACAATGCTTGACTACAGTGCTTCATTTCAGGTAAATGCTTGAGTACGGTGTTTCATTCCAGGACAATGCTTTAGGACAGCCCTTTATTTCAGTTCAGCGTTTCAGTACAGACCCTCAGTACATTGCTTTAGTGCACCTCTCTACTACAGCACCCCAGTACAGTGCTTCATTTCAGTACAATGTATCAGTACAGTGCTTTGTTTTAGTAGAGTATTTAAGTACACTGATTCAATTCTTTAGTACAGCATTTTATTTTCAGTACAGCACTTTATTTCTTTTAAGCTCTGCATCTCAACTCTGTACAACACTTCAGTAAGCTTTGATTTGATAGGAAATATGAGAGCACAGCTCCTAGCTTCCAGTAGACACAACTAAGGGAAGAGATTTATGGAAACAAAAAATAAAGTCTATACTTAAACAGCATTCATTCATTCATTCATTCATTTGAGTGGGTGGGGTGGAACATCTAAAGATACCCTGACTATACTGCGAGTTTCCCGTTTTGGAAAAAGGAGCTTTGTGGGCTTTTGGAAGGCTTAAGCGATTGCCCCATTGGACTGTGTTTAAGCCCAGTGAAGCTCAGTTAGTTTCTCGGTGCCAGAGCTATCGGTGAGGGTGGGCCGTTCGCTGCTCTAAATGATGGGAAACAACGATTTAAAAAGGAGCCCGGGCTGAAAAACAGTGAACCTGTCCTTTAAGTACGGAAGCGCGCGCGTCTCCTCTCTGTCAGTGCGTCTGAGCGCGAGGAGGCCGGAGAGAGACTCGTATGGATGGCAGTCCTTTACAATCTCTCCCAGAGGATTTAGGGTTAGGATTGAGGAGACAAGACGCCATCTCAGCCTAAAAAAATCTGTCTAAAAATGACGGGTGGTAAGAGGATTAAAACAATAATGCCCTTCTCTTCTTCAAGGTTTTTGAGATTTCTTCTTCCAGAGAAAAACCGTTTAGGCTGATATTAGGGGCAGCAGAAGTAGCCTTTTTAAATGTAAAGCTCGCATATTTTGCACTTCTTGAGAAGATGATAGTGTAATAGGCAGTGATAGTCATCACAGATGGGCGCAGTTTAATTTGTTTTCTGCTCGAATTTGTAAATAAATATGATTATGACATATAATTTCCGAGTTTATATATTCTTAAAGCATAGACTGTATCTATTTATTATATACCTATTTTGTATATATACTATTTTATAAATATATATTAATAACTAATAATAGGCTAATAGTAATAATAATAGCCTAATTGCCTTTTATAAGAGCGATACTACTACTACTACTACTACTACTACTAACAATAATGAAAATGTGTATATTATTATTATTATTATTATTATTATTAATAATAATAATAATAATAATAATAATAATAATTGAATCTAAGCAGATAGTTATTTAGGAACTTCGTTTCTAAAAGTTTTGTGGCCTACCCCAGCACACCCATGCCTCCTGCTTGTCTTTTGTGCACGCGCTGTATCTCTGCGCATTAAAGTCTGGAAGCAAAAATCGGATTAACTTGTGAACCGATGGAAATAAGAAGTTAAATGGGAGGCAAATCTGGGCAGTGTGTCTTTGTGGGAACCGTTTCTAAAGCAATTAAAGCGAGAAGGAATTCCTGTGAGCCGAGCCCCCCCCCCTTTCTCCCACCTTAAAGCAGCTTTGGGAGCGTCATGAGCCTCCACTGTCCAGCGCGCACGGACGCCTTTTGCGCTTTTGCGCTTTTTGCGCATGCGCGTAATTGCGCACTCTCCGGGACGGTGCAGCGCCTTTTCCTGCTCGCCACCTCGTCACCTCTTCCACCTTTTTTTTGGCCCCCAATTTCCAACAGTCAGCGCTGTGCGCGCGGATTTAGCTGCCTAGCTCGTTGTTCTCGCGCGTCAATCCGCTGCGTTTGCTCTGATCTTTACTCCATCACTGAAAGCTGCTTTGGAGGACTTTGCCGTCCGTCTCTCCTCGGGGAGATGACGCACGCTCCCGCGAGGAACCTCAGAACAAAACCTGATCCCCTCGAGAGGATGAGAAACCCACTCCATCAGGAGGAAAAAAAGTGCAGGCTTACTCACTGATGAGCGAAAACGCGAAACTCAATAGGAGACTGAACCAAGCGCAATAAGTTCTTGTGAATTGCTGCTGCTGTTTGTGTCTGTGAAGCCGCGGAGGAATCTAAGAGTTTATGCTCTGAATCAGACATATAATCAGGCGCTGCTATGATAGGCCTACTTAAAGAGTTGAAGTCTACATTAGCCTGCTCTCTTCCGAGGCTAATGCAGTAGACTCCTGTGTGCGGGACATTAATCATGGTGATATATGGTTTTAGCTTGACTGCCACCTGGGGACTCCTGTAACAAGTATAAGAAAGCAACTTGCCAGGAGCAAATCTTCAGACATGTTATTAACAAGACGTTTTTATTCTGTCTCTGCAGAATTACACACCTGGAATAAAACGATGGTCTTTTCACTTTTATAGAAGTGGCCTTACTCCTGTCCAGAAATTAGTTTCTTGTTGCATCGCTTTGCTTTTAGTAAGAACAAAAACAATGTCAGGATAAAGGGTCATACATGTGCCCTATATAATTAAAATATTTAACATATATGTATGTGTACACACACACACCAATTAACCTACACACCAGCTGCACTTTACATTGTGTGTGAACATTTTATTGATAGATATAAGTAATACATAATCATATATATATAAGTACTATATATATATATATATATATATATATTATTTTCCTAAAACTAATACTACAATAATTCTTTTCATGGAAGCCAAGTACATATTGTGGTTATCATCAACACTTGATTTGGCTAATCAGTGCTTCATTATGCAAAATCATGTGTGCTGGTGATGAAATTTAACATATCTATGATGGCTAGAGGCACCCAGGAGACATCTGGGACCAAACTTTGCTCTTCTAACTAACTCACAAGATCTCAACTTTTTTCAAAATAAGTATATAAGTATATTTACATAATATTATATGTATCCATACAATACTACTACTACAACTACTACTACTAATAATAATAATAATATGCCTCATAAGTATTATATGTATGTGAGTTTGCCCTGTTTTCACTTGTTTTACTGCAGTCAGAATATCTTGTCCTGAAAATGTATACAAACATACACACACACACACACACACACACATTGCATGCTTTCAGCCTGCAGTCATTTGCACATGGACAGAAACACACATAAATGTGAACATGCTGATATACAGGTGGACACAGGTTCAGATGCACACTCAAATACAGATGCTCAAGTACACACACAATGCCTGTGCATTTGTGCAACATGTTTTATCGGCAGCTCCTGGCCTGGGCCTAAGCTCAGACAGTCTGAATTTTTTTACTGCACATGCTGCCCAGACAAAGACAGATTATAATGAAAATATATTAGAATATATTCTGTTTGCACTTTGGAATAGAGGTTGCAACTCCCCCCCCTTACCCTGAATGCAGACAATCATGACATGTTTGGTGTCTGAAGTTTGCTTCTTTAGTTTTACTACTACAGTGTAGCGAACAAGTACTGGAAGTTTATACCCCACCAGTTAGCACTGTGAATACAGAGGTCATAAGTTTTGTTTAGCTCCACTGAATAACTAAAGAAGTAAACTTCAGACGCTAAACTTATCTTGGCTATACTTAAGGTAAGAGGGAAACACTGTGGAAAATAGAATTTTCCCTAAAATGTTCCTTTATGGTTTATAAGTTTTGCTCTTTAAATGTAGTTTAATTTCAAGATGCAAGGGAGAACTTATTTGTCATATACAAGCAGCAATATAGCATTTGTTTATTTAGACGGTGGCCAATAAATGTGCAGCAACAAATGGGCTGTGGTGTGTAACTGGACACCTGTGTAGTGGACTTTTAAGGTAGGAGGACCTAAT